TTTTCAGCAGCCTCTTGGTCTTCCCCGAATACCTTTCCTAGGTTTTACAGGGTTAACTTGGCCGCCTTTCAACCAATGGAGGGGATCGCACCATCTTCCCAGTGAGGTGGGCATGTTTTCGGGTTGCTTATATTCTGTATGTGTTTCCTCAGGACTTTGTTGATAATCGTCATCCGTGCTTTAAGCACTGCCTCTGGCGGTCAGTAAGAATGAAATAAAACGAAAGTTGCGACTGTAACTATGGTTCTATGAATCCCAGAAGAATGCCAGTGCGCTCGGTCCCTCGGAATCATCTTGTTTTCACGAGAAGATTAAGGGACTGAGCAGTCGTTGTCGTTGTCTGATTATATAAGCTCACCGGTGTCACCGGGGGTCACACGTGACTATGTTGGTATAAGATTCTCAACCTGTGCATGCGCAAGATTGATCATTTGTGCTTTAAGCAACTGTAGTTACAAATGTATCTTTCGTTTTACTAAAAGCATTTTTAATTTTCTTGCTACTGAAATGTTCTATATTACTATAAAAATGAAAATATGTAAAGTTTTGAAATGTTAATATATATATATACAGTGAGGGAAATAAGTATTTGAACATCATGGTATTTTGCAAGTTCTCCCAATTAAAAATCCAAGAGGGTCTGAAATTGTCATCTTAGGAGCATGTCAGCTGTGAGAGACAAAATCTAAAAACATAAATCTAGAAATCACAATATATGATTTTAGAACTATTTATTAGTATGATACAGCTGCAAATAAGTATTTGAACACCTGAGAAAATTAATGTTATTATTTGGTCCAGTAGCCTTTGTTTGCAGAGGTCAAAGGTTTCCTGTAGTTTTTCAGCAGGTTTGCACACACTGTATGAGGTGTATGGCCCATTCCTCCACACAGATCTTCTCTATATTAGTCAGGTTTCTGGGCTGTTGCTGAGAAACATGAAGTTTCTCTATTGGAGGGGTAACCAATTAAAACTCAACGGGGTCCGCATAAAGAAAACCATCGACCAGAGACATTTTTAATTATAATCTGTTACTTTAAACATCATTTAACAATGAAATAAATTTAGGGGTTTTTATGCATCCATGTTATTATAACATGGATGCATGTTATAATAACATGCATCCATGTTATAACATGAATGCATAATTTTTAAATAAAAAATAAAATAATATAATATAATAAAATAAATAGAAAATTTTTCCATTTTAAGATCTTAAGTGTCTTTTGAAGTAGAGAATAATAATTATTCAGTTTGGTTCATAGACATTTTCCTGATTCACATATTTTGTAAAACCCCTGAACTGACTGACTGTTATTTTACTTTATTTTTTCTCTCTTAATGTTTGCAGTGGGCTTTATTCTGCCCTGCAAGGCTTTAAACCTGGGTTTGAATGGAGACTAAGCCATTCAAAAGCACATATCAAGGAGCTCATTTTGAGCCTGGATCCATTTTTATTTTTGATTCTGTTCATGGTGGAAAATCCTGCTTCACAGCAGCAGGTTGAGCCAAACATACTTTAAATGTGCAGGGTCATCTTTGAGCACACCATTTCACTTTTCTTTCACCAGTTCACCACAGTTCTTCCAACAGTCCACACTTTCTCTGCTCTCTTTTTCTCATTGTTCTCTTCTTCTTTTCCATCGCCCGGCTTGCGACAGGTTTGCCTGCTGTGTCCAAAAGTAGCAGCAGCAGTAACCCAGACTCAGCTCATTGGCTAATTTGGAACACGTGTAGCCTGGTCCCAGACGCTCCATATTAACAGGAGAAGCGGCGCAAGTGAAATTAGACACTTTCGTTGGACAACATGCGGTAATTTATAAATGTTTTAAATCAGGTTGTATCTGGATCCAGACCGCGGTCCGCTAATCCGTCACCTCTGGTCTATTGGGTTTATGTCTGGAGACTGGCTAGGCCACGCCAAAACCTTGATCTGCTTCTTCCACAGCCGTTCCTTGGTTATCCTGGCTGTGTGCTTCAGGTCATCGGGATGCTGGAAGACCCAGCCTCCACCCATCTTCAATGCTCTAACTGATGGAAAGAAGTTGTTCCCCAGAATCTCTCAATATATGGCCCTGGTCATCCTTTCCTTAAAACAGAGCAGTCGTCCTGTCCCATGTGCAGAAAAACACCCCTAAAGCATGATGCTCCCACCCCCATGCTTCACAGTAGGGATGGTGCTCTTGGGATGGTTCTCATCATTCTTATTCCTCCAAACACGGTTAGTGGAATTATGACCAAAATGTTCTATTTTGGTCTCATCTGACCACATGACTTTCTCCCATGACTCCTCTTGATCATCAAGAACTGGCGAACTGAAGATGGGCCTTGACATGAGCTGTTTAAGCAGGGAAACCTTCTGTGCCATGCATGATTTCAAACCATGACGTCTTAGTGTATTACCAACAGTAACCATGGAAACGGTGGTCCCAGCACTTTCAGGTCATTGATCAGCTCCTCTCGCTGATTTCTCTCCTTTCTTAGGATCATTGAAACCCCACCAGGTGAGATCTAGCATAGAGCCCCAGTCTGAGAGAGATTGACAGTCATGTTCAGCTTTTTCCATTTTCTTATGATTGCTCCAACAGTGGACCTTTTTTCACCAAACTGCTTGGTTATTTCCCTGTAGCCCTTTCCAGCCTGGTGGAGGTGGACAGTTTAGTCTCTAGTGTCTTTGGACAGCTCTGTGGTCTTGGCCATGTTAGTAGTTGGATTCTTACTGATTGTATGTCTTTATGCAGCGAACCACCTGAAACAGGTGCATCTAATTTAGGAGAATAAATGGAGTTGGACATTTTGAAGGCAGACTAACAGGTCTTTGAGGGTCAGAATTCTTTCTTATAGACAGATGTTCAAATACTGATTTACTGCTGGATCATACAAATGAATTATATATATATATATATATATATATATATATATATATATATATATATATATATATATAGTAAGTGGGAGAATTTGCAAAACAGCAGGATGTTCAAATGCTTATTTTTATTATATTATAGATTAGATTTGTTCTGCCATTATCATTTATATATAAATGATAATGGCAGAACAAATCATTTTGGTCTTTGAATCTGGCTCTCTCTAACTGCAGGTCTTAGACATTAAGTCCAAACTGGGTCTAAAAAAAGCAAGAGGTTTGAAAGAAATCCTAAAAATGTTGCTCTCAGAGCCACGTTAAACTGTTTTATCTAAAAGGTCAACTTCAAGATGAACACAGAATTAATACACTGATATTTCTTTCTATGAGATTATACAAATCTCTTATAATTAAACTTTTGTATTTAGTCATGTATTTCTCAAAAGATCAAATGTGATTAAACCCTGCTTCAGTTTTATAGCAGCTACTTTAAAACTCCACCAAGTAATGAGATTAATTTATTTTTAGAAGAAAAAAACAAACTATAATATGTGTAACACCAGGAATGGGCCTTTTTACAGTTGGCGTCTCTCACCTCCACCAACATCAGCAGCTTTTTATCTGTCTGAAACATCTCTGGCTGGGGAGGTCAGGAAATGTCACGTTTGTTAAGCAGTTGTCCTGTGTGATTCTGTCAGGTGCTGTCCGTGGTGCTGAACGGTCAACTTTTCCACATTATTACTTGTAAAATATTCAAAAGTCCTGATGTCAGCTTCTCTGAAACCTAAACCATTTACTCTGAGAGCTAATAATTTAAGCTGTTGAAGTTTTATGCAAACTTGGATTTAATGTCTAGAAGAGTACTGTTCTTATAATAATGTGATGAAAATGCAGAACATGGTTTTGCTTTTTCCTGCAGCAGCTCTTGGGTCTTCATGGTTTTCTTTGTGCTTTAGTTCATGTGTTCAGCTGCAGTTAAGAAATTGAAGTATTATCCCAGTCTGGAGGGCCTGATGCTGAAACATCAATAAACTTCTCTTCCACTGGGAGGAAAGATGTGATGTTTAGAGCCGCGGCTCCTGGAAACCAGATGATTCAAATGGATTTTATTCAACCTGCTGAATTCCAAAGACTTTCCTTTGCACAGATTTTCCAAACACAGAGAGAAGCAGACCACTGAATAAAGTAAGACGTTCAATCAGCTAAAGATTTCCCTCCAAAACTCCCTTTGATCTCCGTTTCAGCCTAAAATATTGAGGCTTTTGTTTCAGTGTGTTTCTTTAAAATAATGCGAAGGGATTTAAAATATGAACATTTGCTGTTTTATATGAGAAGTATTTACAGCATCAGATATCCTGCATCTTTTCTATACTTCAATCGAAATGTTAAATTTCTGAGATGCAATAAAATAATTAGCTTGTTAATGTTTATAAGTTTGTTTCAGGATAGTTTGCTCTTACTCCTTTTATGCTGTGTGAAGTTTGGGCTCCCTGGCAGAGAATCTTCGCTTCAGACACTAAGAGTTTAGATCATTTTGAGAAAAATGAAGAAATATGATTTATTTGATGAACCTGACCTTATTTTTGGTTGTAAAAATAATAAAAAAAAGTCATCAACTGAGTTAATAACTAAATTTGTATAAGCTCCTGTGAGATATGATCCTTTACTACAGTTTTGGATACATGACTAAATATTTTACAGATATATTTATTCTCGTTAATTCAGAAGTATTATCTAAAATTTATTAGAGTTAATGAACCTGACCTTTAGGGGGTAGAAACCATCATGTTTTAGACATGTGCTGTTCAGCTGTTTATATGTTTACCGAGATTAAAAATCAAATAAGATAAATCAACTTCTTCCAGTTATCCGAAACAAAACCATAAGATTCAAACCAAAGCAAATAACATTACCTCTAGTTTAGTCTGTTGTGACTCTGTTTGAAATCGTCCGATTAATGAAGCTGAATAAAGGTAATAATCCAAACAATCAGAGAAGGCCGAGAGATGCTCCTAGTCCTCAGGGTAAAAGAAACTTGCCGTCCTGCAGTGACCTGGACTCTTTCCTCTTTAGAATGCTGATTCTGTCACCGTTAAATATTCAAGCTGCTTTCTTCTCCTCTGTCTCCCATCAGATGGATGCCCTGCAGTGGCTGACCGATGACTCCTTTATTCCCGCCTCTGTGTGCAGCTTCCCGTGTCGGACGGGTGAGAGGAAGAAGGTAGTGAAGGGTGTCCTGTGTTGCTGGCACTGTGAGGCGTGCGAGGGGTACCACTACCAGGCCACCGAGTTCACCTGTGAACTCTGCTCCTATGAAATGAGACCGAACCAGAACCGGACGGGCTGCCAGCCGATACCTATAATCAAGCTGGAGTGGCACTCGCCCTGGGCCCTGGTGCCTGTGTTCATCGCTGTTCTGGGGATTATTGCAACAACTTTCGTCATTGTGACATTCATCCGTTACAACGACACCCCCATTGTTCGTGCCTCGGGCAGAGAGATGAGCTACGTTTTGTTGACGGGTATTTTCTTGTGCTACGTCGTTACCTTTCCCATGATCGCCGCCCCTGATCTTGCAGTCTGCTCTTTGCGCCGGATCTTCCTGGGCCTCGGCATGTGTTTCAGCAATGCCGCTCTGCTAACCAAGACCAACCGCATCCACCGCATCTTCGAGCAGGGAAAGAAAGCTGTGACGGCACCTCGCTTTATCTCACCAGCCTCCCAGCTCATCATAACTTCCTCTCTCATCTCAGTTCAGCTCCTGGGTGTCCTTGTATGGTTTGCTGCTGACCCGCCTCACACCTTTGTGGACTATGGAGAGCAGCGCACGTTGGACCCTGGGAATGCACGCGGCGTCCTAAAGTGTGACATCTCTGATCTGTCACTCATCTGCTCACTGGGATACAGCATCCTCTTAATGGTCACATGCACTGTTTATGCCATCAAGACTCGCAGTGTGCCTGAGACATTTAACGAGGCCAAACCCATTGGATTCACCATGTACACCACCTGCATCATCTGGCTGGCTTTCATCCCCATCTTCTTCGGCACGGCGCAGTCAGCAGAGAAGGTGAGTTTGCCACACTCCTGTTGTATTATGGAGGAATATCAAGACAACAACTTTCAGTCTCCTTGTAAAACCTGCAGATGTAATTAAACCTGCAATTGTAATAAACCATAAATGTAGTAAAAATATGCAGCTTTTAAAGTAATAATCCCACAAACAGCAACTAACTAATACTAATAGATGAAGACACACCTGATGCTCCTCGGTTGTTGTTTTTTTGCTGTGATGGGAGCAGAGAGTGTAGAACATAACTGATTCAGACAAAAGCAGGCAAAGAACAGCCTCATCTGTTGAAAACCTTTTTTTTTTCTTTGTTTTTCAACAGTCAGTGTGTTAAAAATTAGTCTCATAAATAATAAAATTCCTTTATAGGCTCCATCCTTATATTTATAATGTGCATTATTAGTATATCCTTATTGATTAGCTGCCAACAGTCAGGCCTATTTCCCGATTAATAGAAGATCAGATGTAAATACTTTCTAAGCTGTTCAATGATCATTATTGGAGTGTCTGTTTTCCTGCCTGCCTTTGTCGCTGCTTGTGCCTCATTAAAACTATCATTGCCTTAGAGCCCAAATTCATTTAAAAAAATGAATTCATATCCGGAGGTGGGAGTTTATTCTTCATCTATCACAGACTCTGCCAGACGTTCCCAGCAAACCCTCACAATATGTTTGGGCCTATCAGGTCTGACCGACGTCCTCCCCCACCATCTGAGCCAACTCACCACCAGGTAGTGGTCAGTCGAGGCCTCCGCCCCTCTCTTCACCCGAGTGTCCAAGACATGCGGCCACAGGTCAGATGAAACAACAACAAAGTTGATCATTGAACTACGGCCTAGGGTGTCCTGGTGCCCAGAGCACATATGGACACCCTTATGCTTGAATGGTGTTCGTTATGGACAATCCATAAAAGGAACAGAAGTCCAACAACAGAACACCATACAAGTTCAGGTCAAGTGGGCCATTCCTCCCAGCCACACCCCCCAGGTCTCACTGTCATTGCCCACATGGATGTTGAAGTCCCCAGGAAGAACAAGGGAGTCCCCCCTTGAGGGGCATTCTCCAGTACCCCCCCCTAAGAACTCCAAAGAGGGTGGATAATCTGAAATGAATCTGAATGCGTCAAGGCAACTATCTCTAGCCGGAACCTTTCAACCTCTCGCGCTAACTCATACTCCTTCCAGCTGCTTCTTCAGCCGAGGATCAGAATGCCAAGATCCGCACCCTCGACTGCCACCCATCACACAATGCACCCGAACCCTTTGGCCCCTCCTACAGGTGGTGAGCCTATTTGAAGGGGGACCCATGTAAATGCCCGGCCACCAGGCACTCTCCAGCGTGCCCCACCTCCAGTCCTGGCTCCAGAGTGGGGCCCAGGTGACCCACGTCCAGGCGAGGGAACACTAGGTCTACTTATTGCATTCATCATAAGGGGTCTCTGGGCTGGTCTTTGTCTGATCCCTGGGACCTGTCTGCCTTGGGTGACTCTACTAGGATCATAAAGCTGCTGAGAGTATAGCTCCTAGGGTCACTGGGACACTAAAACCGTGATAAAGTGGCAGCCCAGGAAAGGGTAGTCTCAAACTGAAAAAAGACAGAAAAACAAATTGAAAAAACAAATATTTAAAAAACAATTATTACCATCAGAGTTAAAGGAATTGATGCTGTAGACCTAAGCTAAGCCACAGCATGCATTTCATTCACGCAAACATTAATGTTTTCATGGGAACAGAAAGTCACTCTGAAATGTGAAATGTAATTTCTTTCAGACATTGTCCACATCTCAGGAACCACCAGTTTATTTTTCTATTTTTAACTGGGCTAAATGATGTATAAATATAGAAATCTCAGAGCGTCTCTGAAGCCAGTTCAGCATATGGTGGATCTAATTTATTATTATCTGTGTGGAAGCCAGGAGGAGAGCTTCCCTCAGATTCCTTCCAGGTATTTCATTCCTTCTAACGGATTTCTAGGAGAGCCTTATAATGGAAATCAGACTCACTCAGAATAGATGTGTTTTATTTTCCTATCTCACTCACACAGCTAATGTAGGAATATCTGTGATTTATCAAAGGAATAGAACTATTTAGAGGGACAGGTAGAACCTTCACCCTTATTCAACATGAAAATAGTTTTTCTGTCATTGATTTTGAAGCAGGCAGTTGAAGCTGAATAGAGTGGATGACAAAGACAAGAACCTGCAGAGAGTTTTGTATTTATTGCAACTCAATGTAAATTACATCAAGGGGGAACACTATCTGATCCATAGTTCCCCTGTGGCGCGAGCACAGGGCGGCTGTTGCGCGCCTTTAGCGAGCATGAGCGTTTCCTGTCGCTTGCACGGTGAATCGTGCCGCCTGCGCTGTGCGGAGATGCAGGGGAAACCGTATCTGATGGGGAAACGCAGCTCGACGGGTGTCTGCAATGGTAACTGCGTTATAGTTACAGTCAAAGTAGTTAGTTGGATTACTCGTTACTAAAAGATAACAGCGTTAGTTACGCTGTCACTTTCAAAACGCGTTACTCCCATCACTGTTAATATATATCGAAATATATTGAAATATATATTTTAGATGTGCAAGATAAATATTGAATCATTAATGTCGAGTAAAGCTTCATTTCATTTTTTGTCAGACTGGTGATGAATTTTTGCCCTAGGGTGTTAAAAATGTTTGCCCATTGTCTCTTGTTAAAATTTGTCCATGTGCAGTAGCTACTTTGCACTACAGAAGGATAGGAGAGCTCTGGGCGCACCAAAGCTATGCCCTCAGGTGACCGGAAGTGACATCACAGTCGTAATGCAGGTGATTGACAGGTTGAGTCGCAGGAGAGAAGCAAACTAAGAGAAGCTGGAGGTGAAACAGTTTGGACCTGATCAGCTGAACATCAAAATTAATCATCAGTCCAAAGACAGGTGGAGACGGTTCACTCGTGTTTTTCCAGGACCTGCTTTTGCTCCAAGTCTAGGCTAACTGCATGTAACGAGGCTAAGGCTTTATCCTGCCTCCCTGCTATAAATATATATATATATATAACTTTAAAGAAATACACTCTATATATTGCTAATGTGGTAAATGACTATTCTAGCTGCAAATGTCTGGTTTTTGGTACAATATCTACATAGGTGTATAGAGGCCCATTTCCAGCAACTATCACTCCAGTGTTCTAATGGTACAATGTGTTTGCTCATTGGCTCAGAAGGCTAATTGATGATTAGAAAACCCTTGTGCAATCATGTTCACACATCTGAAAGCAGTTTAGCTCGTTACAGAAGCTACAAAACTGACCTTCCTTTGAGCAGATTGATCTATCTATCTATCTATCTATCTATCTATCTATCTATCTATCTATCTATCTATATAGCTATATAAAAAAGATTTTTTTTTGCTTGACAACGGTGATAGATTACTGTTGCAATTTATTCTAACAGGCATGAGATACTGTAACGTCTAAAATTACAGATTATTTTATTTTTAAGGGTTATTTTTAAGTATTTCCTAATCCAATAAGAAGCCTTTCTTATGGTCCAATCCTTACAATCCAATCAAGTCAGTGGAAGTCAGATTGTGAACTACCAGTTTTAGTCCGTGAGGCAGACACCCTGTCTACTTTTAAGGCCAGGCTTAAAACTTTTTGATAAAGCTTATAGTTAGAGTGGCTCAGGTTATCCTGAGCTATCTCTATAGTTATGCTGCTATAGGCTTAGACTGCTGGAGGACATAGGGACCCCTTTTTATCATTCTGCTGATTTGCTGATGCTCCTAATTTTTAAACTGCAGCCATGAGATATATTTCCTCATTGGCTGTTTGTGTCTGAAACTTCAAAAGCCTGTTAAACCAGTTGGCTTGGCTAAGTATTGGAAGCACTGTAGAGTTAATTGGCCACGCCCCATTTGAAGTCCATTCAAATGGTTACATTGCCTACACAACTGATGATTTTGCAAAAGTAGGTGATTTTTGTGAGCATTTTTTTTTTCTTTTCAAAATCCACCTCATTGCCAGGAACAATAGGGAGCAATTGATTCCAGATGGTCTTTTCCTGCTCAGACTCAAACCAAGAATCACCGTCACAGGTGGCCATGTTGGTTAGTAGCGTCTTGACCCACATGCAGAGTCGGACAAAGTAGTGGTGAGATTTTAGAGTTTATTTACAAAATGTTAAGAAAGTCAGTTAGTTATCTGCCTTCTGGTTGGTCTAAGGGGAAAAAAGACAGACTGATGAGAAACAATGGCAGGCCACTAATTGATTAAGGAAGAGGAGGAAGTATAAATCAGGTGAAGGAGGGTTCTGTAGACTGCACTCACAGGGGAGAGTCAGTGGGAGACCTCTGAGGGTTGATCTCTGGACAACAGGCAGGCAAGTGATGGACAACAGTGTCACACATGAAGATTAACGACCAACTTCCTGAAAATAGCAGATTTCACATTAAAGGGAAAAGACGCATCTTCACCACAGAGACTTCTTTGTCAGATCTTGGCTGGGGCTACCACCGGATCTGAGGTATGATCATCCTGCTTCTTCCTATTTACACAGCAGTCAGCCTGATTGTGAAATTATACCCAGGTCTGCAGGTGGACCAACCCTTCAGCAACGATCCTCTCTGCAGCAGGAAACTCACTGACAGCAGAAAAACCCTGAGATCCCAACTCATAAAACCAATTCCTCCCCAGACCTGCTGATCATCGGATCTGATCAGGATGTTAAAGACAGAAATTCAAAGGAAAATCCTCCTGAAATCTGAGATCCTTGGCTAACCTCTGATCCTTGTTAAAACAGAATGGATGAGTTCAGGTCATTAGAAACATGACTCCTTTCTCTATGTTCAGAGCTGTGGAACAACATAGATCTATGGGTGATAGAAAAGGATCTACCTAGCAGCTTTAGAGAAATATCATTAACTCACTTCTGAGGGGTTTTTCAGCTGAGGAGGAAAATGTGTGGCTGTGACTCGTTATGCTTCTTCTGTTGAATCTGTGTTGATTGTGAATCTGAAGCTGTAGAAGCTCATTGGTAGATTTCCCTTATGACAGAAAGAATGCCACGATTCACACCATTTTNCTGCTATAGGCTTAGACTGCTGGAGGACATAGGGACCCCTTTTTATCATTCTGCTGATTTGCTGATGCTCCTAATTTTTAAACTGCAGCCATGAGATATATTTCCTCATTGGCTGTTTGTGTCTGAAACTTCAAAAGCCTGTTAAACCAGTTGGCTTGGCTAAGTATTGGAAGCACTGTAGTGTTGATTGGCCACGCCCCATTTGAAGTCCATTCAAATGGTTACATTGCCTACACAACTGATGATTTTGCAAAAGTAGGTGATTTTTGTGAGCATTTTTTTTTTCTTTTCAAAATCCACCTCATTGCCAGGAACAATAGGGAGCAATTGATTCCAGATGGTCTTTTCCTGCTCAGACTCAAACCAAGAATCACCGTCACAGGTGGCCATGTTGGTTAGTAGCGTCTTGACCCACATGCAGAGTCGGACAAAGTAGTGGTGAGATTTTAGAGTTTATTTACAAAATGTTAAGAAAGTCAGTTAGTTATCTGCCTTCTGGTTGGTCTAAGGGGAAAAAAGACAGACTGATGAGAAACAATGGCAGGCCACTAATTGATTAAGGAAGAGGAGGAAGTATAAATCAGGTGAAGGAGGGTTCTGTAGACTGCACTCACAGGGGAGAGTCAGTGGGAGACCTCTGAGGGTTGATCTCTGGACAACAGGCAGGCAAGTGATGGACAACAGTGTCACACATGAAGATTAACGACCAACTTCCTGAAAATAGCAGATTTCACATTAAAGGGAAAAGACGCATCTTCACCACAGAGACTTCTTTGTCAGATCTTGGCTGGGGCTACCACCGGATCTGAGGTATGATCATCCTGCTTCTTCCTATTTACACAGCAGTCAGCCTGATTGTGAATTTATTCTCAGGTCTGCAGGTGGACCAACCCTTCAGCAACGATCCTCTCTGCAGCAGGAAACTCACTGACAGCAGAAAAACCCTGAGATCCCAACTCATAAAACCAATTCCTCCCCAGACCTGCTGATCATCGGATCTGATCAGGATGTTAAAGACAGAAATTCAAAGGAAAATCCTCCTGAAATCTGAGATCCTTGGCTAACCTCTGATCCTTGTTAAAACAGAATGGATGAGTTCAGGTCATTAGAAACATGACTCCTTTCTCTATGTTCAGAGCTGTGGAACAACATAGATCTATGGGTGATAGAAAAGGATCTACCTAGCAGCTTTAGAGAAATATCATTAACTCACTTCTGAGGGGTTTTTCAGCTGAGAAGGAAAATGTGTGGCTGTGACTCGTTATGCTTCTTCTGTTGAATCTGTCTTGATTGTGAATCTGAAGCTGTAGAAGCTCATTGGTAGATTTCCCTTATGACAGAAAGAATGCCACGATTCACACCATTTTTATCATCCGAAGGGGGGAAACATTTAATTACATAACCGAATTCATACAGCTGTCTTAAACACTTCATACGTTCAGCGCTACATTGTCATAATTCCGTTTTCCCCAGCTCACATTTCATCTCAGGCTGCTTTTGTAGTTTCCACATCGCACTATGTAGATGTACGTGCACGACTGGAAGCTCTGTCGAAAACTTCCTGGAAATCTCTTAGCTTATGACCTGATTGCAGGCGAGTTAGCCACTAAGAACCCTGTTTTTGCCAAGCTTGTATGTGACTTCCAGTATGTAGACACCCTGTTTACATGCTGTATTCTCTGTGTTGCCAAGTGAGCATAAGGTCACAAATAGGACTACACAAGGCAGTACAATTGCTTCTATATTTGGCAAGCCTGCCAGATATTTACATTCTACAAAGCATCATCCAGTCTGACTAATTTACCAGAGGCAGAGCTTACATCCTATTTCCTGGTTTCTCCACAGATGTATATCCAGACGGCCACACTGACCATCTCCCTAAGCCTCAGTGCGTCGGTCTCCCTGGGGATGCTCTACGTGCCCAAGGTCTACATCATTATCTTCCACCCTGAGCAGAATGTCCCCAAACGCAAGCGCAGCTTTAAGGCCATCGTCACCGCCGCCACCGTGACCACCAAGCTGTCGCAGCTGGCAGCAGAGCGGCCCAACGGCCAAGTGAAGACAGAGTTGTGTGAGGGCGTGCAGGCCAGCGGTGAGTCATCGTTAAATCCCTTCGGCCTGTTTTTATAATGTAGTACCTTCCATTTTCAGACTAAGCTCACATTCGGTATGTTTCTGGCAACCATCTTAGATTTTGTCTTAATCTTCAGGACTAAAAATATTATTAGTTTAGCCACATCACTCCCATCCTCTCCTCCCTGCAGTGGCCGGGCCCATTTTAAGATTGATTTTAAAGTTTTAACACTCTATCTCTCCACTAAATTTAACTGAGATGTTGATATCGGCCCAGCAGAGCTCTCCGGTCTGCTGACCAAATGGTTCTGGACGTCCCCAGGTATCTGTATAAACCCCAGATCTCGGTTGAAGTTTTAGTCAGTTTTATGTTGCACTTCATAAAACAGTGAATCTTTATTATTTGGAATAAAAACCAGATTTTTTCCCAGACTGACAGCTCTATCCTAGATGCTACAATAGCTGGGTATAGAATGCTGCTGTGCAGTTCATCATTGCTGTTGGGCATAAAAGATATGAATGAATTAATGCCCTACTTTATAAAAAAGTGTCTCGCAAAAACTGTGAAAATAGCAGATCTAGTTCAACACATCATATTGGTTGATATAGCAGACAGAAAAGCTGACAAAATGTCCAATAAAGGAATGGCTTTAGACATACAAGGTTTCCATCTTAAAGCTAAATTAATTCTGCATTACACACAGATCAATAAAATCTGCATTGCTACGCAGAAAGCAAAGAATAAGAACATTCTTCTTTCTACTTTGGCAATTTTGGCTTTATTTCTTAGAATTTAACCCTCAGTTACTGCCAGTCAGGGGTCAAAGTAGATGTAAATCAATACGATCTGATAAATTAATTAATTGATCTGATATAAAAAAGAAAATTACACAGAGAACCTACATAATTGCCTCATAATGCCATAAGCAGCTGATATTTCTCTCCAGGATGGAGTCACAGCCAAACAGGAACAGACCAGATGAAGCTACTATGGGAAAAAGCAGAGAGAGCAGAACGTTAGAGATTGAACTAACAAATACTGCAGAATGGGAGAATAGAGATAGAATGAAGCAGAATGATGAAAAGGGGTCCCTATGTCCTCAAGCAGTCTAAGCCTATAGCAGCATAACTATAGAGATAGCTCAGGATAACCTGAGCCACTCTATCTATAATGCTACGTTCAGACCATAAGCAGCAGGAGCAGCAAAAATGCGCATGCTGCTTCATTTTTGATGCTTGTACAAGTTTAGATCTGACGCGCGGCTGAAGCATCTTTGCTTCTCTAGTTGCGCGGTGGAAAGTAGGTCTGATGCAAGTTGGGCGGAGCTACCATATCCTTTCTTTGCCTGCAACAATGGCAGCTATATTTGCTGTGATCAGTGGGGAAAAAATTTTTTTTATCTATTTTTAAGTGAGAAAGTCCACCTGAAAAAAAATCTAGAACTTCTGTTTTCTCTGCAGCAATGATCTTTTTAACAAAATCAATCTTATTTAAAAAGCAGCCCATAAAACCATCACTGCTAATAGAAGGTGGGATGGATGGTTCAACCTAGCTATGGCTCTATATGAGTGTGGCAGCACAGTTCAGTTCATATAGTTCCTCAGATACTGCCTCACCTTCCAGAGACGAACCAGTTACATTTAGATGGGTACCAATGAGCTTATTTTGAATAGAAACACTTTTATTTATAAAGAATCAGTAAAATCATTATTGCTTCAAGCAGGTGGAGAAGCTTGTATCTGAGTGGCAGCAGAAGAGTCAAGGAATAGATGAAATAAGAGGGAAAAGGTCTGTTGGCTCTCTGCACTCAGCTGTAAAATCCAGGAGCTTGATGACCAGATGACTCATGCATTCTCATCATTGCTCAGTTAGAATCACAAATCAGATTATAAGAAATCAGTTTAAATCATGTCTCTAAGGAAAACAACTGTCCAGCATTATTTCAGTGCACTTATAGTTGTGAATTTTATGCATGATTTACTTTAGGAGAAGAAAAAAAATGAGAAGTGTGTGTGAAAGTTTACAGAGATACTGAGGAGGATTTGACAGGAAGTTTTCAGGTTTATCTAGAGGTCACCTGATGCCAGATCTGATTAAACTAAACTGTCTGCAGCTCAGATCTGCTGAATCTGTGGGCAGAAAAGCAGGAGCGGCTGAGATGTTTCCATCTGATGGACTTTATTCACCTGGACTCCAGGTTTCTTTCATCCTGCAGAGTTTGATTAACAGGGCTGAAGTTACTCACCTGGCTGACATGGTCCCTTCTTCTTCAGGTGTGCGTATGGTTCAATGCCTTCATAACTAAACGCTGCCACGGCCCAATGATGGCAGCTTAAGATAACAGTTCAAAGTCTGATTCAAGCTGAAAGAAGAAGCTAATAGGTTTTAGTCAGTTAAAGGTTTATCTTAAAACATTCAAAATAAAAACAACTCTATGATCTATTTTCTCCATATTTCTACTTTATAAGACTTTCTAACGTTGGATGATCAGAATGTGAACATTTAACAGAAAACTGTTCTGAATCTGATGTTTAAATGCCAACAAATAAATTCTGTCTAAAACAAAAAGATTTTTTACATCAGTTTTTTTCCCCTCTGACTAAAGAGTATAATAAACAATAAATGGTAGAACATGTGACATTTGTAGCTAATCTGATGACCACACAACAAGCATTGTTTGCTTTCGCTGATGTTTGCAGGTAGTTTAGCTGGAAAACTGTAGGGGAATAAAAGTGAGCTGGAGTTTGATGGATGCAACATGTTGTTGGTTCTCATCAGCAGCCAGTCTGTCGGTGTTGCTTAGGTCATAACTACAGCAACAATAACATGTTTCTAACTGAACCCACATTGGTATCATGTCCAGATCTTCATCCAATTCTTCTCTACAAAAAATATGGAATTATGTCGAGCACCCTCAGCTCAAACACAGCAGGAAAGCTCTCTGATAGCTTCTCTCTGTGCTGCCTGGGGAAGCAGCAGAGCTCTACATCTCCTACACTGCCTCCTTGGTCTCAGGACTTTGCTCTGCCTACAGTGCAGCTGCACAGGGCTCATGCTGAGGTCACACTGACTGCAGCAAGGAAAGGAACCAAATAATGCAGTGCAGGTCTTATTACCAAGGCTGTGGATCATTCTTAGAAGAACGATTGGATTCAGTCCCCGCGGCGGCCCCTGGAACTTCAGTTTCTGCAGCCAAAGCCATAACCAATGCTATGGTGGATGGATGTGATTTTTTTTTCAGCTGGGGTTTTCATGTTATTAACAAATCATTGTTGATGCAGTGATCAGCTCAGTATAGAATCTATTTAAAAATCCCATCAGTGTATTCCTTTTATCAATGTGCTGTTGTCTTTGTTTCCCTTAGTGCCACCTATAAAGACCACCTATGTCAGCTACACAAACCACAGCATCTGAGCAAACAGCAGCTATGAAGAGGTGACTCTGAAGAACAGACCTGCAGCCAAACCTAAAACAGGAAGAAGGAGCCGAAGCATCAGGGAGCTGCAGAGTTTGTGGTCTTAGAGGAAGCAGGGAGCTGCCCGCATTGCTGCACGTCAGACGATCACATCAGAAACTATTCAGGAAACAAAAGCTGAACTTGAACTGACCGTATTGTTGTAGTATTTTAAAAAAGAGAAGTAACTTTGTTGTGAACGAAAGTTCTGGTGATCCCGACCCGTACTCAGATCAGTGGCTCATTGATTTTTCAAGCATGTCAGTTTTATACAAATGATCTATTTATAATAAAAGAAGATTTCACACCTCTGTGGTTTGCTATTTTTTCTGCAGAATAACTTTAACTGGGAAGGACAGAACTGCATGAAAACAAAGAACTTCTGTCTTACAGCTACAATGGGTGATTTTCAGCTACATCTAGTGGTCAGACTGCAGCGACATAAGCAGCCATTTCTAAGGCAATTATCACTGCAAAAACCATCTAGAAATAAGTACAAAATTTCTTAAAATAAGTGCATTTACCCTTAATTTTAG